GGGGGGGAGCACAGCTCCTACCCCATGCTCTGGCTTCGGGCTGGTCTGGGTTTGGGTGCCAGCTCTTCCTGGACTCGCCCTGTGCCCCTAACCCAGCTTCTCACATATACACCATGTGGTAATGACTCCCTGCTTCACAGGGTTTGTGAGGGTCCCGTGAATAACCCCAGAAAGGACTTAAAACAGGGCAAATGCAACAAACCTTTACCTAAACAAACGAGCAACGAAACCTGTTTGCTTGCTGCACCAAAAGACATGCAATATTTTCAGACTTTCCGTAGACCTGTTGCCAAATTGTCTTCCAGGAACATTCTGTCATTTCAAACATTTAGCAGTAATGCATTCAGATACTCTTCTTGCTGTATTTTCACCAGCTCTTGAAACTATTTTTAAAATGCACACATTTTCATCGTGGCAGTTTAACAAATGCGATTCGTGGCTGTTTAAAATTAGATTCCTTTGATCCGCACTGAGTTTGAACACGGCCCTTCTGTACTTATTAGCTGCCTGTGATTCTTCGCTTGTCATCGCTAATTCTTGCGAATGGCTCATTATTCTGTTGTTGTGAGGACCAGTAAATTAACTGTGTATATAAAGAGATGAGCATTTTCTGTCTTGCAAGGCCATTTTTTTTTGGCAATTATATGGTATACCTTTCATTTTTTACAGCATATTTTATACAGAAAGTATTTTATTCTTTCTACAATTAAATATGAGATTGGTGCTATCATAATGACTCTTTTTCCTTGCTTTATGTTTAGGATTACCTTGAACTGTGGAATACAAGTGGACATATGTCATTCTTTGTACTTTGGTTTTTAACATTAACGGCAATTCAGTTAGATGCTGATATTTTTCTCTTAACTGAGTGTTAGTATTGTTTTGCTTTGCTTCACTCATGTGTGTAAGCTGAGGTCAGAGCATTTACTAACATTCCAAATGCCAGTCACTGGCCTCGTTACACTATATGGTGCAACCTCCCCTCCCCCTTCTGAATTGATTTAACACCCTCATCACTGGTCATCTTACCACATAGCTTCTTTAATATATTTAATTTCATAATTTACAAACAAAATTTTCTCGAATCTTCATTTCCAAATTTTTCTTATTCACTATTATCATCTACTCATTCTTCAACATAAAATTTAAAATACTTTGTGTAATTGCAAAAAGAAAAAAATCTTGTTTGCTTTTTTATTACAATTCATTAAATGCATAAATTATCAGGGTAAAATTGGCATCTTTAGAGAATTATGAATCCCCTCCCAGAAACTGAGGATGTAACACCCCTAATTTAATTGTTTAGCCTAAAATTGAATTTGTAATTACCTTTATATGGATCCTGTAAATGCCTTACTAAATTGATTTCAGACGTTTTACATTTGCATGTCTGCTGTGAAAGTGACCTTCCATCGGTCATGTTTCTAACTTGTTTGGCTAAGATATAATAAACCTGTGGATCTTTGTTTATTTTTTTTGCAACTCAGCACATTAGTGGACACTCATTATTTTTATACTTTTGGTTGGTTTTATCAGCCTTTTAAGGTGGACAGTGTCATTAGCAAAAATAATTTAATCTTCTATTTTCTAATAATTTATTGATTTTTCTTATGTTATTGCATGGGCTAGATTTCCTGAATGACGTAACATAATAGTGGTGATAATGGGAATTCATATATTTTCCTTTCATCTCTGATATTCTCAATCTAATTCCTTCAACCATGGCACAAATCTGCTGAGGTCTGAAGCCTGGAGTCGGAGGAGGGCGACAGCTGGCTGGGCTTCAAGACTGAAATATAAACATGTCATTTCAATTTTATTTATGGTAACGAAATATAGAAAATAATCTCAATATCAAATAAGAGTTTGGTGAAATTAAATTGTGTGGCCATGAGATCAAACTTTTGTACTCACAAGTACTGCCTCAAAGACTATGTTTTGGCCCAGGAAAGACTCTAAATTATAAGATTAGCCGAAGTGCCAGGTACAGAAATGTGAGCTCCCAAGAAGAACCCTGGGTTCTCACCCGTCCAGCACTCACCAGCTGTGTGAGCAGGACCACCTGCTTCAACCTCTGGGCCTCAGCTGCCTCACTTGTTAAATGGGTGTCATACTGGTGAGCATGTCCCGCGGTGCCCTGTGCCTGACACGTAGTATGTGCTCACTAAACACTGATACCATTATCACCATCCCACCTAACACATTTCCTGTCCATGGCATGGAGCACAGCAACTTGTTAACAGCGTTTTGTTTTCTTGTTGGAATTCAGAGCAAATTCCATTTTTTTCTTCATATTTTCTTCGGTATTTCCCACAATACAAGCATATGTTTTGAAATATGATGGAAAAAAAATAAAACAAAGGCAGATAATTCTGACGAGTTAAGACTATGATGGGACAAGGCATGGGAAGGGGGTAAAATGGTTTGAACTCTAGGGAGAGGGCTGGGGATGGGGGTCAGTGTGGCCGATGAAAAGGGTGTGTGTTGTGAGGGTTCTCCAGAGGAAAAGAACCAGCAGGTTGGAAATATGTACCACTGATATATAAGCAAATAATGACGGGCTGAGGTGTGCTGTAATGAGGAGATGAGGTGCCCCAACTCAGGCAGGCAGGAGGCAGGAGGCAGGAGGCGAAGGGCACTTGCCCCTTCCGCCACGTCTTGTTCCACTCATGCCTTCCACAGATTGCAGACGCCCACCCAACCAGGGAGGCCCGCTCCTTTGTTGAGTCCGCAGATTCAAATGCCAGTCGGTTCCAGAATCACCCTCACAGACAGATGCAGGCACAATGCTTACTCTGGACACGCCGTGCTCAGCACATGGACGCATGGAATTAACCATCAGAGGGCGGACGCTGGACCAACCTGGGAGAGATGCTGGGGCCGCAGCCGCTGGTCACACACCTACACTTCAGGCTCCTGGCTTGGCTCACGGCACCTTGTAGAAGTGGGGGTGCTCAGGAGTGGGTCTCCAGCAGTCACGGGGCCTCAGGGGACCGGTCGGGCTGCATATGGGACGATCGGAGCCCTACAACAAATGCAGTGCACAGGCTGAGCGTGCAGCTCACAGAGAGACCCATGTTCCACTCTCCTCAACCCCAGATGGACAGACGGACTGACGGACGCTCATTGACTGAGCAGTACATTGTACAATATTGGTCACATGGTAAGTGTTCTATGTGTGATAGAATGTTCTAGGCCAGGGGTCGGCAAACTGCAGCTCGCAAGCCACATGTAGCTCTTGGGGTATGTTTGTCTCAAAAGTTTGCTGACCCTTGGAAGAGCCAATCCTGTCCCTCACAACAATTTAAAAATTATTCGAGAGCCATAAAACAAATGAAATCACCATTATATGGATAATATCCTTTAAAAAATTTATAAATGAAACTATGATAGTTTTATTTTCATTTTCAATTTTACTTCAGAGCCACAGGCACGTACCCAAAGAGCCACATGTGGCTCGCGAGCCGCAGTTTGCCGACCCCTGGTCTAGGCTCCTTTGAGAAGACTTTTTTTGCCTCTTCTATTTGCCTTTTTCTTCTCTTCCTGTAGAGAATCTCGAGAAGTTTTATCCTTTGTAAGAGCCATCCTGTGTACCGTCACATTTCCCATAACCACCAGCTAAACAATATCTGCTATATAGTAAGTTTTTCCCTTTCTTTTTCAGTAGCATTGCTTCTACTGCATCTATTTTTCAGTTTTTCAGAGCGCTGTGTAATATATACTAATCCATGGATATACTAAGCCAATTAACACAGGTCCAATGTTTATCCATTTCCCAGACACGGCTGTTTTGGAAATAAGGGAAAGGTGTGATGTGTGCGTCAGACGCGTGGCTGGCGTCACCGCACTGATGGCTACGATGTGAAAAATGAGCTGCTGCTGATTACAACACCCAGCCAACACAGGCAGCGCTGGCATGCTAAGCACTTGGTTCTTTTCACGGTAGCGCTAAGCATTTATATTGAAGAAAATGTAGAGTGAAAAAATAAATAGGAAAAAGCCACTGACTGTCCAACATTCAAATATAACCACTTTTTTCTTTTAAAGATTTTTTTATTGGGGAATTGGGGGAAGGGGAACAGACAAGTTGCTGTCCTTTTGTTCTTCGGTCTAGTTGTGGAGGATGTTGCTTCACTGGCCCAAGTTGGCACCATCGTTGTGCTCTTCCCGGCAAGGCAGATCAGTCGCCGGCTTTTGGACATTCGCAGCGGCTGCTGGCCACTCACGCTGGCTGCTGGCTACACACGGTAGCCCATGGCAACCCCCTGCAGCAGGGGCTGCAGCCTACGCCATCGCCGGTGACTCACAGCATCCCAGCTCCAGGTTGAGCTGTTGTTCAGCATCTTAGCTGTAGAGGGCAGTGTCACTGGCCCTCATATGTGGGATCTGAACCGGGGCCCTCTGGCATCCCAAGCCAGCTCTCAACCAATGCGCCACTCGGCCAGCCCAAATATAACCACTTTTAATATTTTATACTTTGCTTTTCTAAATAGTCTGTTTGCTTGTCTGTCTGTCTGCGATTTTACATGATCAGAAACCATCCGTGGACTTAGCGAGGTATGCGTATGTCCTATCGAATGAAAGTTTCACACCGAGTTTGTCGTAGCCGTTTGGAAGGTGATCGATCTACGGGTTCAGAGGTGGCTGCTCAGCTGCTTTCCTGAAAGCAGTCATGGCCGGCTAACGGCTGGCATTCGGGCAACGGCTGGCAGAGGAACAAGTGAATGGGCCACGGGCCTTCACACAGTAGACACTTCACGTGCTGGATATGGTGGAGAGCATGCCCGTCAGAGCCACCTTCCAAACGGAGGCTGCCCTTCAGAAAAAGCTGCCCCTTAAACAATGCCTCGGATGCGTAACAGGCAGTGGAGGAGCGCGTGGAGGCAACTTTGCTTCTGGCCTTGAATCATGCGTCTCCCATGAGGACACAGAGCGCAACAGCCTCGCTGCCATCTTGGAACAAGGAATGGGAAATGTGGAGGCACAGCACAAGTGAGAAGCTCAACAAATCATCCTGCCATGAGCAGCTCTCCAAGCCAGTGGGGGACATCTCAGCCTCTAAACGTCCGAGGCAACGCTGTTTCCAGAGCGGGGCAGTTTTGTCAGATACCATCGCTGGCTTGGGGGGGTTTTGTCCAGAATTATGGACAAAGTTGACAAATGAGCCCAGTGAGCCAGAGGATGGGTCTTGGGAGATAAAGTCAGGAGGCCGGTGAGGACCGGACCTGGGAAGCCCCGTGGTCAGGCCTGCAGACCTCACTCTACTGCTGAGGGGACGTCACTCAGGGTTTTTCTCTTTCTGTAAGAAAACGTTTCGTAATGCCCCTGCTCTGTCCTGAAATGAAATCCGTAGGTAGCACACACTCTTTGTCACATATAATTTCCAAAAACATTCAGCATGCAGCCCTAGCTGTGAATAAGGGCAAGATGAAAGGAGCATAATGTTAATAAAATAATAGGCATTCGGTATTTAACTGCGCAGTGTGCTGACACTAGGACTCAAATCGCCTGCTGGGCACATCATGGCTGCCCTAAGGAACCCGTGATGTCAATTAAGAATAAACAGGAAGGCGGAAACCCAGCCGCTGGGGACCATTTGGGACAATGAAAGCCATTACAACAGCCCCATCTGGGGCCTGGGGCCAGGCCCTCTGCTCATTTACCGTAGAAAAGAAACTGCTGCCTATGGCCAATTGGTGACCAACTCGTCCTGTGCCGCTGGAGATGGGCAGATGGCAGGAGTGGCGGTGGCTGGCGACTCTGGGACAGGTTTATTCAGTGTCGCTCTGAACACACGTCCTCTCCTGCCCAGAATCACAGTCATCAGCCACCGGTGCCTGGTGTGAATGCGGAGGGCTCCTCAGGCCATGTCAGGAGGCAGAACCCCGTTCTCTCAAAGGGGTGGGGGGGGATCGGCGTGCGCACACCCAGGCCGGGGCTTCCCTGAGGTCTGCAGGCTGCACGAAGCACTTCCGTCACCAGCTCACCTACAAGCCAAGCCTCCCCCCCCACACCCACTCGGGGGAGTGTTTGTCCAGCTTACCGTCAACTTTGGGGGTCTTATAGAATCTTGCATTGACTGTTTCTCTGTTTTCAGTCAGTTCACACATGTTTATTCAGGTTCCAGTGTTATTTTATCGATTGTGGCCTTCTCAGCAAATGTTTCCCCAGGGCTCCTTCTGAGAAAACAGGTGGGCCAGGACCCCGGCAAAGGCGGCTGACGATGGCCAGGAGGCCTGGGCAGGGGTGGGGCGGGCTCTCGGTCACCTGGTCCCAGGGGCGGTGCTTGCCCCACAATCCCGTGCCCCTCCCCCCATCAGGGTGGGGTCTCCTTGGGTGGGGGTCAGGGGAGCAGCTTTGGACAAAGGGGCTTTTGTCTTCTTCCCCCTCCATCTCCTTCCCTCCCTCCCTCCTGTCTCTTTCTTTCTTTCCTTCGTTTCTGTTTTTTCCTTAAAAGCAGATTGGGGTTATCAGCCTCTTCAGTTCGGAGCACACCTCTTCCTCCATTTGTGGGTGTGCTTTTCCTGATTAGATCGTCCAGATCACTCAGGAGCCGCCTGTCTTCCTCTTGTCCCTTTGGGCACCCCCTCTCGTGTGCCCGATACTTGTCCATAGGTGTGCACGTGTCCTCATGAGATACACAGGACGGGGGTGATGAGGCATCGCGCTGCAAACCTCGCTCTGTCCCTCACATTGTCTTCCTCCAACACGACACAACATTTTGAAACCTAAGAAGCAGTTGGAGAGACCGCGGGGGAGGAGCCACTCGCGGCTCTGTCCCAGGGCAGCCCAGGAGCGGGTCCTCCCCGTCTGGAGCAGGCGAGCTGCAGGGAGCAGGCGCGTGTGTGGCTGCGGTCCTTCCCAGAATGTGCTGCTGGACGCAGGAGAAGAACACCAGTTCTCTCCTCTGTGATGGGAAAGCAAAGGTTTCAAACAGGGAGAGACTGGAACGCAAACTAGATGTTCGCGGAGCCACGTCAGTGATAGGAGCAGAAGCCCCGGTGGGTTCCAAAGTGCCTGTTTGTGGCGCCTGCATGCCCAGCATTGCCTGTCAGTCAGGGGATGAAGAAATGAACGAGGGAACCTGGGGACACTCCTGGGAGAGGACAGGCCGGGAGGACAGTCCACTCCTGAGCTCGCCTCTTGGGAGATGTGGGGCAGCTGGCCTCTCATGCCCTCATGTGTGCTCTCCCTGGGGCCAGGCAGAGAGCCGCCTCCATGTGCATCTTTCCTCTTGGGCTACAAGGAAGTCCGTCTCCTGCCGTGACCGTGGCCTGTGACTCTGTTTCATGGGCAGCTTCCATTGTCCCCAAGCGCTGAGACTGCGGGCCAATGAGTGCCGCACTAAATCCACTCTGGGGACTTTAAAAGAACTGTTCCTCTTAGTTTTGCAGGTTGCCCAAAGGAAAGGTGCTGAGAGGAAGGCAGGAGGGGGCGACAAGGCGCTGCCAGTGGGAGACGGCCGATGGCGCCTGCAGGGATGGGATGGGGGGCGGGTCTGACAGCGGGGGCCCTGCTGGTAGCCCTGGGCTTGTGGCAGTACCAGCACCTCGCAGGAGCCTGCGCTGGGCTCTCTTCCTTTCCGCCCAAGGAGCGTCTGGTGAGCTGTTTCTTCACAAGCTCTGAGTCTGGGATACGGGATGCAAAAAAAGAAACACTGAAAACAAAACCCATCGATAACAATCCCGTAAAAATGCCACCACGTGGGGCCGAGTCTGGTTCCCTGGTGACATAAGAGGTCCACCCCGGCGTCACCTTCCCCGGAGACGCCATGGCAAGGAGGGGATGTGCTGAAACTCACTCAGGAGATGCTCAGAAAGGGGACAAGGCCACCAGGCCGCCCCGAGGCTGTGGTCTCGCGCTGGCCACGCAGCTCCTGGGGTGCCGTTCTGTTGCGCGTTCAAGCCTAAGAACTGAAATTCACTTACTCATCCACGTAAACAGTTCAGTCAGTGTCCTCGGGAGTTCGAATGTCAGAGTTGGGGGAGGCGGGTGACCCAGCACCTGCATGAAGGGAGGAGGGGGCAGGAGGCTGTAAAGAAAACCGAGCAGAGCGTGGTGCCCAGCGCGAGGGGCCTGCGCCTTTCACGGGCGCCCAGGACGGGCTCCTTTGATGAGGTGAGACCTGAGCGAGGCCTACAGGGGGGAGGGCGAGCCACATCCCCAGGGCAGGTGTCCTCAGAAAGGGACAGGGCAGTGCATGCTGGGAGGTCAGCTACCCCGAGGAGGCCGCCACGGCAGGGGACGCGTGGAGGGGTCAGCTTGAGGTCTGAACGGTGGTGGCGGCCAGACTGGTGGAGGCCCCCAAGCGTCATTTGGGACACTGGGGGCTTGGGCCCCCTCACCAGCAGAAAGGGCCACGTGTAACTAAAGCGGTTAGAATGGGGCTTAAGTCCGTGACCAGCCGTGGGGCTGCTGGAGCAAATGCCACCCGTCCAGGAGCTCCGTGAGGAAGGCGCAGCTTTCCAGAGCGCCCAGCCCGCGTCAGGGCGCCGTGGGCTCCCCGGGTCCATCCAGGGAGATGCATTGTAACAAGCTCCCGGCTGAGTCTGGTACTGGGTGGTGAGCCTTCACCTCCGTCCGGGAAAAATGAGTTTGTTCTGTCCCTCCGCCTCTGCCCCCTCATTACAGTTCCTCCA